GCCAACCTGAGTTAAACTTTTGACAAGGGAACAAATTTCAAGCTGATGTATCGGACACATAGCTAGCCCTACAGCTTGCAACTTAACTAGCAACAGCTGCCCAATGCCATGTGAAGTAACAACTGGTTTTTGTTTTGTTTTTTTCCCTTCAGTTTAAATGTTATGTAATGTATTCAAACTCTTATTTATTTTGGTTGTGTACAACTAAAATAAGTTAACCCTGTTTCTGTTTCATAGTTCAACTATGAGTTAAAATTATCTTGACAACACCTAACAACTGCAATACAGAAGGAAACAAAAATATTTGATGCACCTATGCAATGAAGAAATATAACAATCACAGTCCTCATTTCTGCAACTTGTCATGTGGTCCTAGCTGATATTCAGAACTACCTTCTTCTGTCACCCATTCCGTGTTTCCCTTGCCCTCAGCAAGCACCTAAGCTGGTCGTGGTTCTTTGCCTGGTGGGGTGACCCAAACCTTCATTCCTGGGCCATTAGTAGTCATGTCAGAATTGGGTTGTTGTAATTTTCCATTGACATTAATTACAGTGCATGGTAGTACTAAGAGATATCCTAAAGAATTCCAGACATATTCTTCTTTACCTCCAGTATGTAATGTCACTCCAATTTCCTTTGGTAATGAGAATCTATCACACCAGATAGTATAGTAACACTCTTCTTTGTTGATCCAGAGGCATGAGAAAGCCAAAATGGCTGGGTGGCATTAACTACCAGTTAAATGCAATCTGTATTGTGTCTCCAGGTGGGAATGTTCCTCCTTTTGGGACTAGGATCTCCAGACCCGCAAAGCATAGGGTAGCAAGGACAGGAAGCAAAAATTTTTTGAGTGGGTCATTAGGGGTAATAGTGAGTGGTACCACTCCCATTTCCACCCCTTGGTTCCCAGACTCATGAATCCTGGCTATTGGAGAAACAACACTGTATATTGGACACTGGTTTAGGGCATATACAGCTTCCTGGAGAACATTGCCCTAACCCTTCAAAGTATTGCCACCTAGCTGGCACTGTAATTGTGTTTTCAGTAGGCCATTCCATTGTTCTATCAAGCCAGCTACTTCAGGTTGATGGGGAACATGGAAAGACCAGTGAATTTCATGAGCATAGGTCCATTGCCGCACATCATTTGCTATGAAGTGAGTCCCTTTATCTGAAGCAATACTGTGTAGGATACCATGCTGGTGGATAAGGCATTCTGTAAGTCCACAGAGGGTAGTTTTGGCAGAAGCATGGTGTGCAGGGACGGCAAGTCCATATCCAGAATAAATATTCCAGTAGGAACAAAATGCTGTCCTTTCCATGATGGAAGTGGCCCAATGTAATCAACTTGCCACCAGGTTGCTGGCTGATCACCCTGAGGAATGGTTTCATATTGCAGACTCACTGTTGGTTTCTGCTGCTGGCAGATTGGGTACGCAGCAGTGGCAGTAGCCAAATCAGCCTTGGTAAGTGGGAGTCCATGTTGCTAAGCCCATGCATAACCTCCACCCCTGCCTCCATGGCAACTTTGTTCATGAGCCCATTGAGCAATGACAGGAGTAGCTAGGGGAAAAGGATGACTGGTTTCCACTGAACATGTCATCCTATCCACCTGATGGTTAAAGTCCTCCTCTGCCGAGGTCACCTTTTGGTGGGCATTCACCTGAGACACAAATACCTTTACTCCTTTGGCCCATTCAGAGAGATCTATCCACATACCTCTTCCCTATACATTATTGTCACCAATTTTCCAGTCATGCTCTTTCCAAGTCCCAGATCATCCAGCCAAGTCATTGGCCACAGCCCGTAAATCCATATGCAATCATATATCTGGCCATTTCTTGTTCCATGAAAGTGAACTGCCATATGCATGGCTTGAAGTTCTGCCCATTGGGAGGATTTTGTTTTTACCACTGCCCTTCAGGGAAGTACCAGAAACAGGCTACAGTGCTGCTACCATCCACTTTCAAGTGGTGCCTGCATATCGTGCAGAACCATCTGTAAACCAGGCACAAATTTTCTCTTCCTCAGTCAACTGATCATAGGGAACTCCCCATGAGGCCATAGGTGCAGATTGGGAAAGGGAAGGTAATGTGACTAGAGTGGAGACCATAGGCATTTGGGCCACTTCCTCTTGCAACTTACTTGTGCGTTCAGGTACTGCTTGAGCCCGATCTCTTATATACCACTTCTGTTTAATGATGGAGTGCTGCTGTGCACATCCAACTTTATGACTCTGGGTCAGACAATACCTAGTTCATGATGGGCAGCTCAAGCCTTGTGGTGACTTGGTGGCCCATGGTTAGGTGTTCAGTCTCTACTAAAGCCCAGTAACAAGCCAAAAGCTGTTTCTCAAAAGGAGAGTAGGTATCTGCAGAGGATGGCAGGACTTTGCCCCAAAATCCCAAGGGTCTGCATTGTGATTCACCAATAGGGACCTGCCAGAGACCCCAAACAGCATCTCTGTTTGCTACAGACACCTCAAGCACCATTGGATCAGCCAGATCATATGGCCCAAGTGGCAGAGCAGCCTGCACAGCAGCCTGAACCTGTTGCAGAGCCTACTGTTGTTCTGGGCCCCACTCAAAACTAGCAGCTTTCCGAGTCACTTGATAAATAGGCCGCAGCAACACACCCAAATGAGGGATATGTTGTCTCCAAAATCCAAAGAGGCCTACCACACATTATGCCTCCTTTTTAGTTGTGGGGGAAGCCAGATACAATAACTTATCCTTCACTTTAGTAGGAATATCCCAACATGCCCCATACCATTGGACCCCTAGAAATTTCACTGAAGTGGAAAATGCTTGAATTTTTGTCCAGTTAATTTCCCACCCTCTAGCACACAGATATCTCACCAATAAGTCTAGAGTCATCGATACTTCTTCCTTACTAGGTCCAATCAGCATAATATTATCAACATAATGGAACAGTGTGCTGTCTTGTGGAAGGGAAAGGCGATCAAGATCCCTAATGACATAGTGCTGGGTAGTTGATATACCCCTCAGAAAGCACTGTGAAAGTAAATTGTTGACCTTGCCAGCTGAAGGCAAACTACTTCTGATGGTCCTTTGAAATTTTATTGAGAAAAAGGCATTGGCCAGATCAATAACTGCATACCAAGTACCAGGAGATGTACTCATTTGCTCAAGCAGTGAAACCACATCAGGAACAGCAGCTGCAATTGGAGTCACCACCTGATTAAGTTT